CTTGGATGGGCTTTCAAGGCAACGTTCATCCCTGCGCTACAGGGCACCAACCTCAGTCATTTTGAAGACTTGATGCAAATTTTGAGACGCAATGTATTTTTAATTTTTTTTAAGGACTCCTTGGGTAGACATTTTGTGGATATTGCATTCCCTTCCAGCTTGGCCTGATCCCTCCCGTCTTCATCTAGCTTTGAAGCAAAATCATTTGCCTCCACAGTTGAATAAATAAAATGTTTTGGAGCTGGGAAAGGTGGAACAAAAGAATCCATTAACATCCGGTGTGGTGGGCTTGAAAGAATCATGGTAAACTGCAAGCCTGGGGAGATTATTAGAGAAAGAAGGCTATTTGCACGGCCTGCATATTTTCCTTCTTCAAAGCCCTTTCCAATGCTGGTGGCGTCCTTGTACAACATCAACTTGCTATATTTCTCCCTCCTCATCCCAGGACTTATAATATTTTATTTCAGTTGCTTTTCCATCCCTACCCAGTAATGCAGTTGATCAGAGGATGGGAAAGAAATACGAATATACAGTAACACCAACAAAGCTTAAGCTCAGACTTCATGACTTCCCACCAACGTCCACTTCCACTAACCCTAGAGAGCTTGGCCAGCCAGGATGGGGAGCTAAACCTTGCTCACTCCAGTTTCCTAACTTCAGAAGCAGGAAGAGTCTAGGTTGGAATTCTTCATTCTTGATCCTGTTCCTCAACTTGCCCTAATGCCAGCACAGTGTTAGCAACTCTGGTTGCAGACGTGCCAATCTAGATCTTGTTGCTTATTGGCAGGGGGGATCCTGGCAGTGTGAAGCAGGCAGCACAATGGCCTGGCACAACTGTGCAAAACTTGGTGTGCATGCATGTACTCCTCCCACTAGTTGGCTTGGCAGTTTGAGAAATGAGGTGCCTTTGAAGGCCTTGAAGAGTTGCTTCTCGTTGGCATTATTTCTCTATCACTTTTATTTGCAATCACTGCATTCCAAACATGATCCAGCATTGCATCTGGATCAAGTAATGTTGCCAAGGCTGAGCTGTGGACAGCTGTAAGAAAGGTAGAGGATCAGAGCCAAAAGGTGACTCATATAGGCTGTCACCATGAGCTGGTCACACAAACGACAGCCCAGCCCAAACAGGAGGATCTGCATAGCCTTTCAACCAGCATGAATTGAAGATGACAATTTTAAGATTGGCTGTGGCTCAGCAATAAAGTTCATACTTAGCTTGCAAGAAGTTCTAGATGGAATCCATCACATGTCCAGAAAGGCTGGGGGCACTCCTGTTTAAAGTTTTGAAGTGTTGCTACCATCTGTATTGACAAGGTATAATTTTGGTCCTCAACTTCTGTCAGTACCAGCCAGCATGGCCAATGCCAAGGGACTGTGGGAGTTGTATCCAAAACACCTGGAGGGCACCAATGGCCAACTAGGCAAAATGGACCAGTGGTCTGGAAGTCAGAAGTATTCCATGTTCTCTTGTGATGGTCTCCAGACTGGTGGGAAGTATGTTCAGAATACAAACTCAATTTGCTCACACTTGCTCCACATCGGATTCTATGGCAAAGAGATTCTTGCTCCATCCATAATTATAAATGAGCTTCATGAACTGGATTTTGTATTTGGGTGCTCTGTACTTATGCACCAGGTGGATTCCTGTTCACGAAGAGGCTGTTGAAGTTAGCAAGATGCTCAGGAGCCATTTCTGTCAAACCTTCACCTCCCAATTAATTGAAACTGCCCTTCATCGGTTTGATTGGAGAGGTCAAGATGGTCATGTGCCAATTGCTACAAAGCAGCAGCGCTAAAGCATGCGCTACAAAGCAAATTGAGGGTCATGCAAAATCCTGGGAAAATGGCAGGTTCCCCAGTGCATCATATAATTGGGAAGCCAACTGAGAACTGAGCCAATTGTGCGCTCGTGATTATATTGTCTCCATCAGAAATGTGTCGGGAGACAGTGATTATACCACAGAAGCTTCTACATTTCTGCCAATTTGCAGCTATTCTACCATGGATGACTACTAGAAAAAATCAAACAAAGGGACCTATGTTCCAGAACTGCACAGGAAAAAAAACCCTGATTCTATTTTTATGATATTTTATCTGATCATTGTCTTCCAAGAAAAGAACACTGAGGTGGCCCGGACATGCTTCCTGTTCCTTTTCATCTTCCCAAATAGTGTCATTCATTCCTGAACATCAGAAATAGAGAATGGCTCCTATGGATAGCTCTGGAAGTTGCTGCAGATTGTAGTTCTTGTAATAACTCATCCCATGGAGGAAGATTCATCACCTAATGCCTTATGTGCCCCCTAAAAGCCTTAAGTGCCACTCCATAACCTAATGCCTTATATGCCTGCTAAAAGCATTAAGTGGGGCTCCAAATTTCCTCTGTTGCAAACGAATTGTAATGTGACATAACTACATTAAATTAACTTGTATTTATGCTGGGAAAAGTGGAAGGAAAGAGAAGAAGACGACCACCATCCACAAGGTGGATGGATTCAATTCTGGCAGCAGTGGCTGCACCGCTGGAAGACTTGAAGGGCCCAGTTGGAGCAGATCATCCTGGAGAAGGTCTCTCTGTGTGGTTGCTAATCAACTTGCGTTTGGGGTTTTTTATCCTAGTTCTGCCTACTTTTTGAGCAGGCTACCAGGCAGATCACTTAAAGGTCCAGTAAGTTCCTTAATGTGAGAAAAGGCTGTTTATTGCTGAAAGACATTCTGGCCCTCACAGCTCCTGACATTACTGTATGGTCTCCTTGCTTTAAGCGACACCTCTGGGGTGGAGATTCTGCTTGGTCCTTCAATGACCTGTCCCCCCTCTTCCTTTCAGCAGGTCATTCTGTGTTTTATCAAAGTCAGCATTCAGCTGAGTTTTCCATCTATCATTCTACATATTTGGCAGCCAGATCTGATTGCAGAAAGGCTATATTTAAAAGCAAACTTGTGATATTTTCCACCATCAGCGTCTTCTTCTCCTCCCACTTCTAAAGCAGCCGTTGCATGATACCTTGACCTTGTTTTCATACGGGTTCCGCAGGTGCAGAATAGCAACTGAGCCAAGTGATACCCTCAGCTTTAGAAAATGTGTTTTGCACTTTCTGGTTGGGCTTTCTAGAGGATGATGATCTCTATGCAACAGGACTTTTGCCACTTGGCATCTTCGCAAAGGGCTACATTCCAGCTGGAAACCATGATGAGCTGAGGTTTACACATTCAGGTGGCCAGGCTGTGACATTACACGAGTGCTTCATTTGGAAGGAGTAGGTTTCTGACACATGGGGCATTTGGGTGGATGGGTGTGTTTGTGTGTTGGAGGTTGCTCTTGTTTTTCATTGGGTGGGGTGTTTTCAGGTTGGTTTCCATCGCTGAGACCTTCGTTCTGCATTTTGTCTCACGTTTCTCTTGTTGTTCAGGCACACGGCACTTTCTCAACAACACATCCTCCTTTCTCGTATGACCTTGCGAGGATGGCCCTGTTTTTCAGATGCCTTGATGGCCATCTGGTGGCCATGCAAGAAAAGTCTTCCGGCCTGTTCAGAATCAAATGCACCTCTGTAATAACGGATAAACATCCAGCCGCTACTATCGTAAAGTCCTTTTGGCTAAAGATAAGGATATTCCTAGCTTCGCTTTCTCCTGCAGAAAGTATATTGATTTAGGTTGAGGCCAGGATGGGACAAGAGCAATTGCTGGGAGATGCACAGGATAACACACTTTTAATCACCTAAAAAGGAAGTGTTGATATATTGTTCACCTGACTTGGGATATCTGTACTAACAGGAGAAAACAAAAAGAAGAGGTCAGAATCAGAACACAGAGGAGGAGGTGGTTCTCCTCCTCTTTCTTCTTCTTCCCCTCCATCTTCTTTCCTCCATCTCCTCCCCCTCCTCCTCCCCCTTCCCCCCCTCCCCCCTCCCCCCCCCCCCCCCCCTCCCCCCTCCCCCCCCCCCCCCCCCTCCCCCCCTGCCCCCCCCCTCCTCCCCCTCCTCTCTCTCCCCGAT